GGTTTGTAGTAAGGCAACACATGGGAAGAGTAGCTAGTCCTTCCTCAGAAAAACATATCAACAGGAAAGTGGGCTCAAGTCAAATCCTGGGAAACTAAACGCGGCTTTGGGTGGGGGGGGAGTGTGTACTTCAAGTACATGAAAAGTTACTGGTTGTACAGAGAAGATATGGTGCTAGTCCGCTAGAAGCCACAATTTCATAACCCAACCCAAAAAGGCTCACCAAAATACAAAGAATACCTACACTGCTATACATTAGGTTTAGTTCCTAATTTGAGGAATTGTTTTGATATCCTTAAAGGATTACGGTAAACATTAAAACTATTATTTTTCATAAGTTCATGTGCATTAGCGTTTTACAAGATAAAAATTTTAAATCCAAAATTTGTGCTCTCCTACGTCATTTAATTAGCATGGGATGATCTGCAATCACCTTAGAAAGTACAATAAAAAACCCGCCAGACTGAGCTCTTCTGAGTTCCAGGAAGTATAAACAAGGAAATGTAAACACAGGTGCCATGGGAAGGCTCGTGGGAATAGAACAAATCTCAAAAACACGTAATATAATTTAATTATATTTCTCAAATACGTTAATAAATTTCCTCAATTCTAATTTTTAATTCTTATTATTAAAGAACAAAACTTAGGTAATGTTATGATTACTCTGAAGATTCTAACTAAAGGATAAGTGAAAAACATTTGATAGCCAAGTACTTCTTATGACTATGTTAATAACTAATTCCTCACATACTAGCTCAACCAGTCATGTAGATTTATTATGGATAGAAAACGGAGTCAATTTTCTAAAGAGGCTATTATTAATCAGCAAGAAAATGCAAATATGGATTATTGTCTTTTCCTATAAAAGGTATTATCAAATCTTTCTCACAATAGGAAATAGTTGTATGTAGTGCTTAAAAGATTTGCATAGAAAATATAATAAATGACCTTAAGTTGAAGGAAAATTGAGATGCAATGCTATCTATATTACCTTATAAATCTTTCAACCAGCAATTAGCAATTGATGTATATTTCATAAAAATATATGCAGATACTCCAAAAGAAGAGCAAATTCTTTTCCTTTTAAAATATATACCTTTAAACATAGCAAGCAGTACTTTAATTAAATACCCTTTTAACAGTAAAAGAAAAACAAATGGTAAGATTTTCCTTCTGTAGTGTTACAGCAAAGCAACACTGTCAGAGAAATGAAACATTATATTGTTCTTTCACTACTATAAGCATTTACTCTATAATAATAATACTGTACAAAAACATTCACTTTAAATAAAAGTATACACATCAATTTATAAAAAGGTTTAATTACTTAATCAAAACTTTTTAAGTTAAAATGTTCTACAAATACATATAAAAACAGTATTTTACTATCTTTTAGCAAGTATTACAAAGTTTTCTTTATTAATTAGAAATTAATTAGAAAACAAAAGGTTAATCTTCTTACAGGGATATAAGAAGCAAAAGGAAGGTACAGTTTTCTACAATGCCACTGAGTCCCTGTAAGCAGCACAATTTTATAGGTGATCGACTTTTAACAACTGGCTTACCATCGGTGCTGAATCTACCTGATGGCTATAATGCCTTCTTTCTATGCCGATATTCCCTATGGAAAGAAAAAATTATGAATACTTGGTTATTAGGCACAATCATTTTATTTTGGAAACCTTTATGTCAGTAAGATATGACTCTGTGGTTGATAAAAAGAAAGCCTTACTCACAAGAAAGATTCTTTCAAGTTGGATCAAGAATTTTCTGGTAAGAAGCAGTTGGTTAGTTTGACTAGTTCACCTGATGTAAGGTCAGCTGCGCCTACCTTCTCATTCAAGTGGTGTCCAGCAATAGTGCAAAATCATCCATATCTTGCTCAGCTAAAAAGTTATAGCATTGTCTTGACTTTGCTCTATTTTTTTCCATGACAATGTTATTTCTGACTTGAAAATATCCAGTTTTATAAACAAATATAATAAAAGCTACAAAAGGAATCAGTACTTCCTTTCTTGAAAGAAAAATATCTGTTCAAATTTTTCTTTGATCTGGCTTTATACTATGACACATCATGGTATTTGTTCAATTATCATAAAATGTCTCAAGGACAAAAAGTTTCCTTGATTCTGTCCTTTAGGATGACAACACTGAGTGCTGCTCTTGGGAAGTTCCCCTTATGTGTAGATTTATCTTTTTGTTCTCAATGTTTTCTACTGCTTTTTCTGGGTAATAAGTAGCCTTTAAAAATATACTACATTGCATCTCACCTGTAACATCCTGGTTCACGTTATAAGTGAACATGGGGGCCAGGGAGATGGCTCATAGGGGCCGGGGAGATGGCTCAGTAGGATAAGCGCTTGACTGGCAAACGCAAAGATCTGAGTTCAATGCCCGGTTCCGCAAAACAAAACAAAAAACAAAAAAACAAAAAAACACAACGTGAACATGGACGTGGGTTTTATTTAGTTTTCAATCTCTGTTTTTCAGTAAACTAACATGTGAGTTTCTTCAAATAACACCAAAGGTTGCTGGACAGGACTGGTTACAGGTAAGAATTACAATATCTGTTGCTATTGATTAGAAAAATTCCAGGAATGCAATCCTAGTTCCTACCTTTATAAGCACTAATTTTTCTTAAAGTAAAGGATTAAGAGCAACAAAAAGCAATTGATTTTTATTACTTCAGAAGAGTACATTAAAAATGAACAAAGTACCATAAACATTTTAAAAACCAGTTTTTGCTTCATTAAAAATTCTTTGAATATCTATTGCTATTAAAGTATGAAACAATGCACTATGTTTGTTCAACTGACTGATACTGACTGACTACCTGCTCATCACTGACAAAGATGAAAAAATTATGATTTCTCACTTCAAGCACCCCATACAACAGAAATGACTTTTTTCTGGAAAAAACCTTTAGAGCAAATGAACCAAGTTTTCTCTTGGGTGTAGTAAAGTCTTTATAGCAATTCTGATAGAAAGACATTCTTTATGTTTTTTTTAACTCCCCATTACCAGCAGCTTTGCATTACAAATTTTAAAAAGATGGATAGTCCATAAAATATTCAAGTAACACAGATTCTTGTAAGAATTTGATAATGTAAAAATACACTGAAGAAAGGTCCAAATGTCCGTCCCCAGGCCCTGCGACTCTAATCCTCCTGGCTGCATCACAGAAGGCTGTCTGGCATGATGCACTTGCCTTCAAATAAGTGTGGTCATATGATGAGGGTAGGCCACGAGTGTGTCTTATGTGCACATTCTCATTACTGGAATTTTATTGCTATAAGGCCGGTCTAAACTAAAAATTGATTTTAAAATTCTCATCTCACTAGAAAGTAACCTGAAAATGAAAAATAATGGTAGAAA